TCTGATTAAACTTTTGTAAATTAGAATCTTCGTTTTTCTGCTAGTGAAGTTAGACTTCAAGTACTTTTTGAGGCCAAAAATATATCGGTTAGCATCTGTGACTCTACTACGGATCTCGGACATTAAATCATTGAGAGGATTAACTTCTGATCCTAACTATTTAAATTTGCTAACAGTTTCAAATTTATAATTCAAAATTTCAAAATAGGGGCTGTTGTTATTACCACATGGCATGTATTTAGTTTTATTTTGGTTGATTGCTACGTGCATTTTGCTGGCTGCAACCTCTAGAGATGTAAAAGCCTCCCTAAGTGACTCGGGAGTGCGTGCGACTATGTCAATATTGTTAACAAACGCAAATATCTGAACAGACTTGTTAAAGATAGTTCCACCAGTATTAATGTTGAAGTCTTTTATTATTTTTTGGAGGGCAAGGTTAAAAAGCAAGCAGACCAGTGCACCACCCTGTCTGAGCCCATTTGAAACAATAGGCTCAGAAAGATTATTCTTGATTTTAACACTAAGTTTTGTCTCAGTAAGAGTAATGGTGACCAAATTTATAAATTTTTCAGGTATTGCAAATTCTCTCATAGCTTCAATTAAACATTTTTTGTTTACTGAATCATAGGCAGTCTTAAAATCAACAAAAATGTGGTGCGTTGCAATGCCACATTCACTGGGCTTTTTTCAAAATTTGCCTAATGTTAAAGATTTGTTCTGCTGCAGATCTTCCTTTGAGGAAACCACATTGGTAATGACCTACAATATTTCTGTATAAGTTAATAGTATGCTAAAAAGTATATTGGAAAATAGTTTGTAGAAAACACAAAGGAGACTGATTCCCCTGTAGTTAGCACATTCCAAAATGTCTCCATGTTTGTTTATAGGACAGATGATGCTCAGTTTCCATCCTTCGGGTTAAACTTTTTGGTTCCAAACTGATTCAATGAGATAGTGCATTTCCTCAATGTTTTGACCTGCAGCACGTTTAATAAGTAATCGAGTCAGAACTTGGGGCCTTTATATTTTTTAGCTTTTTAATTCCTGCTCTAACTTCTGCCAAAGATAATGCCGGGATTTTATCGGTGTTTGCAGAGGTAGTTCTGTAGGTTGAAGACCCATCCCGCGTATGGTCATTCAACAAGTTGCTAAAGTGCTCATTCCACCTGTGGAATACCTCTTTTCTATTATTTAGGCTGATGTAGTTTTTGTCTCTACAGGCAATTGTTCTAGGCTTAAAATATTTGAGGTCAAGATTAATTTCACGATAGAAAGCACGGCTTTCCTTGGACCCCCTTAGATGTTCAACATCCTTAAATAGGTCGTCGTGATAAGCCGATGAATCTTCTTCTCCTGTTTTCTATATCCCTGATGATGATTCCTTAACAGAGAGTCTTGATTGTCGTTTTTGGACCATATTTTTATCAGCAGCTCTTTTTTGTCTTTGCACTTAAACCATAAAATTCAGTTCAATAGCAATGTCGCAAAATAATTCTAAAATGAGCGTATCTTTAGATTTTCCGATACACTGTTTCGCGCGCTGGAAATAAAAAGGTTCCCCCCCCCGTAGAGTGTTGCCATTGCTCGCTTTGAAATCCTTGAGTTTTTTAATCAAAAATTCGTTAAAGTTTTACAAAATGTGAAATCGATTATAAAACAAATTCCAAATTTCAAATTTGATCTTCCACATGCGCATATTCGTAAGAGGATTATGTCATTCAAAATTCGATGGCTCTATGTACCGTTGTTTTATCACAACGCGAGGAACAGACATACATTTATGCAGATTTTGCATTATTTAATTTCTTCAAATATAATGCAGGATTCTAACATTGGGTGGCAACAGTTTGAAAGTGAAAAGGACACCTATAGTGATTCAGCGCAAAATCGCAAAACGTAAACAATAGTCCTTCAGGAACAAAGCCCCTTTGAACTAAAAAGATTGCTTTAAATTAAGATGTTCGCCAAGAGAATTATTCTTGGTGCAAACTGAAAATATACGCCAAGATAAATTTTGGAATTTTCCCGTACATTTCTAACCTAATTTGACAAAATTTAACATCTAGGCATAATTTGGGGCTTAGAATCGAAATATGGAAAAGGAGTAGCATGCCATTTCATAAAAATACCTATGTTGTGTCAAAATACCTATGTTAGAACAATGTTTTATATAACCTTCGAGACACGAAAATTATTTTTTTCGCAGTGTACCTTCTTAAAGAATAACAATGAATTTTTATGAATATTTTAAATAAAATATACTACCTATTTCACAGAAAAGAATATGGGAAAAATATAGTTTTCAAAACGAAAATATAGTTTGCCAATATAGAAGTTCAAGTTTATTTCCATACCTGTATTCAGTATGATTCTGATAAACAAATTTGAAACGCTCACTTTAATATCACTTACAATCATAAAAGAGTTTCTTATAGTGAATGAAAAAGATTATGTAATAAATTATATATCAGTGGCGATATATGTCCACAAATTATTTCCAGTCAGAAATCAAGCCGTTTCAAAGATAATGAATAGCAAGCCATCTTAGTAATAGAATTGCAATTTATGTTTCATAGTAATAATATAAGCAAGAGATTTATTGTACCGCAAGGTATTTAATTCAGAAAATGCAGAAAACGTATGTAGAAATAATAGTAATATAAAACTAAGCTTATTATAAGGGGAACATAGGTACTGCAGAGACATATGAGAGTAACAATAGCATAATATGACAAACATTTGTTAAAATAAGAATTATGGATGCAGTGCAAGATCCTCCTGTAGAAACAGCATGTATAAGATATATACTGCTGCAGAAGTAACAGGTTATAACTGATACATGCTGTGATTGTGTTAAGATGATAATGAGGTTATGTATGACAATAGAAATTATTCTAGCTTTTCATTTGTGTATAATAATAAAAAGAACAATAAATATGTATCTTAATTCTCCTTGATGAAATCGGTTATAGTTCGTGAAAAATAGAGAAAATTTGGCGAAAGTTATTTTGAACCAAATGTATACACGTATTATATATGTTACGGTGAAACACCGAAATCTGGAGAATGTCGACTTTCACCGGTGAATGTCAACATTCACATAGTCTCTTGGTTATGTCCGAAATATTTTCCAAATACTCTTATTTATGACTTACACCGGTCAATGTCGAAATTCACCATGTACTAATGGTGAATGTTGAACATATAACAATATTATATTTTCTTCTCCGTCATTCAGTCGCGAATAAACGCACTTGAGACTTGAAATAAGAACTTAAGAACATGAGAACCTAAAACACACAATACATTCAAGATGAGAAAGGAAAATAATAGAAGTTAAAAACTTACTTAATTATACAGTACGTGCTAAATGAGAAAATAAAATAACAGTAATAAAAATCTTACTAAATTATGTTATTCAAATCATATTTATTGCAACAACTTAAACTATTATGGCACTTTATGACCTCTCTTTTCGACTTTCACCAGAGCATATTTGTGATTGTCGACATACACCGGTGAGGGTCCGAAGATACAAGAATGTAGTGAAATATTCGGTCTTTCACCGATGTATTTGGTGAATTTTGATATTCTCTAGTGAAAGTCGACATTCCCCAATTTCGGTCTTTCACGGTAACATATATATGTAATAAAACTTAAAAATGACGAGAAAAAATTATACTAAATGAGAAATATTTTCTAAAAAAGAATTTAAAAATAATTTTAAAATAATTTAATTTGAAAACGAGAAGAAGCTATTAAATTTTAGAAAAGCAAGATGAAAACCAAAAGTTAAAAAATTTGTACAAAATGTTTAAGGAAAACTAAAATTTAAGCTAATATTTTTAAACTAGATATAGTTTAATTATTCAGATAGCATTGCCTCAAATCCATTTATTAAGGGGTTATAACTCGGAGCATCAAAAAGTGAACAATTAAGAATTTTTGTAATTACATTTCGTTCCAGTTGTCTTTTTATGTTTGCTGCGTTTAACGTTTAACCGTGTTAAGGCAATTATTAAGTCAGGTCTGGGATCCCCTTCTGTCTAATACCTCTCTTTGCAAAAATTTAAACAATAAGTATAATATAAATTTCTATGCTACAATAAATGCACTCATATTTAAAGAGTCACGTAAAAGGAAACACTTAACACACACCGACGCAGGTTCAGTACCTGAAAAAATATAAATTAAACTGCAAAATTAAGATTTCAAAATTACAAAACATTTTTAAAGTATAAGGAATTAAAGTAAAAATAAAGGAAAGAATTTAGAGTAAATATCGTCGATATACATAATTATAATACAACGGTCAAATTAACAGTAAAAACAGTTTTAAAGTTATTTCTGTTTTTTTACGTAACGCAGTTTGCCCGTAAACGTAACATATTTAAGGTAAAAGTGCTAAAATCTCTAATTTTATTCCCCAAACCAGAAAAAATTTTTTAAAATCAATAAAGATGCACTGAAATATATGCATATATATAATATATATATAGTAGTTAAGTTTTCTTAAAATTATTTGGAACTTCAAAACTTCATTATATGGGTATCTTCGTATTAGCTATTTTATTCAATTATAAAGATTTATCAACAAAATAGATTTACCATAAAATAATTAGAAGTTAATTAACATTAAAGGATGCAATTAATCATCAGGTAAATTGCTTAATTTACTGTAAATATGCAATGCATCGGGAAATCATCGTAATAAATCTCGAATTTAGGAACACGAGCTAGAGAGTTAATTAATTCTCGGAAATTATCTTAAAAATACTTATTTCACACTTCGATAATATCTGCTTTACATCTTTTGTTACTTAAAATCTGCATATAAATATACTATATTTCTTATTTAAATGAAAATTTTATGGTATTATTTTATTTTGTGTTTTAGATAATATTTTAATCTGTTCTAATATGATACTTACGAAAAATTTATAATTTCATGAAAATATATTTTTTTCTCTACTCTCTGAAGATTAGATGTTTGAAAATCCTGTAAAATAAATCTCTGAATTTAAAGGGAATATCGTAATAACTTACATGCAGTCTCTTTTACTAGATGGAAGGAACAATCAAGAAAATCTCCATATATCAAGGAGTTTAACATTAATATTAATTATGTGGACAGTAATACATCGTTTTACGTAGGTATGTATATTTTCATTTCCCTATATAAATTTAGCTTTTACTTTAACCTCGAAATTTTAATAAACTACTTAAATAATTTACCAAGCTCAGGAGAAAAAAAGATCTATTTCTTTCAGATGCAAAATGTTCTATTAAATAAATTAATAAAATGAAATATTAAATGTAGAAGAATATAAAAAGTATGCAATCATTTGACTGCCAAAGAAACTTTCTTAGACGTAGGAGTAAAATAAATGACAATAATACTGAAAAAGGCTTACTTCTAATTCAATAAAAAACAGGTTTGCAGCTGTAGATTCCTCTGTATAGCTGAGTTAGAGCAATATTAAATAGGCAACAAAACTGATTACCCAAAACACCTCTGATTATGGATATACACTCTTTTGCAAAACAATCGAAGCACCAAGAAGGACTTTTGCCATCGTGACGAAATTTGGTATGCAAAAACATCTTGATCGAACATGCAAATGATCAAAGTTTCAAGGCAAGTTAACAGGAATTGCGATCATAGCGCGCATTTCTAGTACGCAATTCGCAAAGTATAAAACTAGTAACAGAGGTGGAAAATTAATCGTTTTTTGTTGCTGCCATTGTAATTCTGTAAAGAAGTAACAAAAGTTACCATTACGAGGATATCGAAGACCATGCAGACAACTAAACGACTTCGAAAGTGGTCGCATTGTAAGGTTGCGTCAAGTTGGGTGGTCATACCGAGCAGTAGGCCGCCACGTGCAGCGTACAGACACTGCATTGCAAAGATGTTGGCAGCGATGGTTGCTACAAGGAAATTGCCGACGAAATGAAGGCTCTTGAAGGCCAAGGAGCACAAATGCGAGGCAAGATAGGAGGATTGATTGTTGCTAGGACCGAAGCGCCACAACGGTATCTTTGCCGACTATTCAAAGCACTACAGCCATGTCTATACCTCCCGTGGTACCGTCCACCATCTCACGGCGCTTGTCTGAGGCGCGGTTACGCTCACAGAAGCATTTAAGACGTTTGCATATGATCCCATAACATCGGCGGTGTCATTTGGAGTGGTGTCGTAGCCGATCATAATGGCTGCCATGAAACTGGCATCATATAGTGTTCAGCGATGAATCCCATTCACTCTTGAAGCAGATGACTCCGTGTTCGTGTCTGGAAAGAAAGGGGTCAGCGGTCCTAAACAGGCTTTGTTTTACAAAGGCATACCGCCATAATCCCTGGTGTGATGGTGCGGGACGCTCGTTCTTATGACAGCAGGTCACCTTTAGTCATCCTCCGTCCATCTTTAACTGCTCAACGATATGTTGATACCCTCCTGCGGCTGGTTGCATTACCCTTCATGACACGTCGTCCTGGGGCCATTTTCCAACAAGATAATGCCAGGCCACATACCGCTAGCATATCTCTGGACTTGCTCCGTGGGGTTGATACGCTTCCTTGGCCATCTGACCTTTCAACAATCGCGAATGCCTAGGGCATGGTAGGCCGCCAGATTCGGTCACCACAAAATATCGCAGATCCGAAGCGACAACTGATGAATGCCTGACAGAATGTGTCGCAGTATGACATTAGGAACCTCTACCACTCATTGCCTTGACGAATTCAAGCATGCATTGCCGCCAGGGGGGTTCGACTAACTACTAATATGAACACTCAATGGGTGATTGTAAGCCGTGAACGGGTACTATGACCTTGATTTTTTAATTATTTTATTATTTATGTATGAGCTATAAACGTATTCAATTTCATCAAAAGCAACCACGTTCTTCATGGTGCTTCGAGTTTTTTGCAAAAGAGTGTATATCAGCCTGCATTTAAAGTACAAACAATCCCAAGCTTGTCATCCTATTAAAAGTATGACATTAGCACATGTTTATGGGTCACTTTGGCATAGTTATCAATGGTACAAGAAGTTTATGTATAGAAAGTCAACGTAACCTGATAAAGCTCGTTTTAGAGAGCTGCAATCTGCGATTAATCCAGGCACTATTGCTGCTGTGAGATTCCAGGCACTACTGAGCGGATGTTGCTCGAAGTTTTAAGTTAAACACTCAAAGAGTGTAGGAGTGTGAAAATTAGCCTTTTTGTTTCATTCATAATGATATGATACAGTACCACATCGTGTCTGTTAGATGAGCATCCACATTGAACGAATTTCTACATACCTTTTTACCAAAAGCGTCTTAAAGTTAAGCTATAGCAAATAGGCTCGTACCTACAAGATGGCGTTTTAAACTATAAAGTCACCGGTAAAGAAATGGTTCGTTATATCCAAAGAGGAATGATGGTTGATCCATTATCAACAAGTGGGTTGGCTAGTAAGCTGTAGACACAACGTTCTGGCATTACAAAGACACTGTTCTAGACCTTCATGGGCCTTAAATCTAATCATCATTTCAGAACCACATTCAGAAGAGCCTGAAGATTACAAAATGTCAAAACACAGCGATGCACTAAGTTCTAGTACGTTTTATATTATCGCATTTTATTGCTCCAGCTCAAAGCTTCGAAAACAAGTGAGAAAGACGATATGTATTATGATGCAATGATGTGCAATACGTATTATGATGTATAATTCGTATTGTGATGCATGATATGTTACATGCATTATGACGAAATTATGCCTTGAGTCACTTTTACGTTGAATATACTCGCTGGATATTGCATCGAATGGTTTTAAACTCTTAAGATAAACTTGATGTCAAGAAATGCAGCAAAAGCGATATAAGAAATGAAACAGAAATAGATGCTTAGTAAACTGATCAGGCTCTTCTCTAGCCTGCAGTGTAGGCTTCAGTGAAGTTCTTGCATATTCGATTTAAGTTTGTATATTCTGTTTTGTGATGTTATTAAATACACTGCTCAAAACAATTAAAGATTATTGGGAATTCGATATGAAATAAATATATAATCGACAGCATTTTCAATAAAAATCAAATAGAAGAGTTTAAAAAGGAAAGTTATAACATTTACGAAGTTAGAAATGTGAAGATTATGTCTGTGAAGTCGAAAACATGCGTTTTAGTTAAGGAGGGAAAAGTTACCTGCAGGATTCCTTCTGTAGGGGGAGATAAAGAACAACTGACTTGCGTTAAATATTTTGCAACAGTGAATTCGATGTTTCATTCAAGATGACTCAACTCAATCGTCAGCCTGGAGGGCCATTGATCGTTTAAAGGCGGGTCAAACGCAATCCGCTGTGGCAGAATCTTTAAGTGTTTCTCAAGGTGTCATTTCCTGACTACAGAATCAGTTTTTGGAAACTGGAAAAGTTCGTTGAAGATCATGGCAAGGTTATACGCCTGCAACAATACAAAATGAGGATCAGTATTTAATAGTAATGGCAGAAAAACGGCACTTTGAACGCTCCTTCCTTGCAGTAGCGCCTTCAGAGAGTAATTTGTATCAGAGTTGCGACACAAACTGTTTGAAACTGACTCCACCATGTGGGTTTGTATGCTTGCATTTATGATTTGTGTTTCATTGACATAAGACCACCGTGCTGCCGGCAGAAGGTGGGCGCAAGAGCATCTCAGATGGGGACGATATGCGTGGAGCAACGTGCTCTTCACGGAAGAGTCTCTCTTTAAAATACAACCGGACAATAGGCGGTTCCTTGTCTGGAAAGAAATTGTTATATGGAATACTCCTGCATTTGTTCATGAAATTGTTCGATTTGGCGGAGGTGAAGTGAAGTTCTATTAATGGCCGCAACCGACCTGCACATTATTAGGAATGGTGTACAAACAGCTCAGTCGCATAGGGCTCAGTAGTACAGTTTAGTGATATAGAGACGTCAGATCCACTGTGGCCCTTTACGTTGCAGCAATTGCGGATGAATTCATTCTCATGGGTGATAACACCAGGATACATCGTGCTTAGCTGTAAAAAAATTCGTTTAATTCGAAGGAATCCTTCGAATCAGTTGGGTATCATATTCCCCACGTGTGAACCCAAAAGAACATGATTGGGACATTTCTAGTGAGAAAGTTGCTAATCGCATATCACCCTCAGAAGCAATTTAGCAATTTGAAAGCTCTCTTTTACAGGAGTGGGATAGAATACTCTAGTACGTCATTGATTACATATCTCGTAGGTGTGCGACATTACTTTCGGTAGAAGAAATAATAGACCTTAATGAAACTCATTTGTATCCGTGAAATCCATTTTTTGTTTCTCTGTATAACATACACAAATTGTGCATTTTTAATTTACCGAAAAATATCGAAAATAAAAACTTAGTTATTTCTTGTTCGTTGCTTCTTTTTCTTTTCTCATACCTTGCAACACGTATACGTCATATTTCAGTGACCAAAACATTTCTTCATCCGAAGTTTATATCTAGAATCACAATATTTCCTAACTGTTTTGAGCAGTGTATTTGAACTCTGTCTGTCTATATTTAGTTAACTTTCCTTTCCTCTCACATATCACATTAAAAGAAAAGGTTTTGAAGCATTAAAAAAACACCACTAACATTGAGAATTTTGAAAGGAAATCACAAATCAGTATTGAAATTAAAAAAGTAGTACTTTTTATAAGACAAAAGGGAAGTCTATTTAATGCTAACTTATTAAATCACATATTTATTGAAATCTAACTTCATTTATATAAAATAAATTGATTACATTTATTAATTAATTTGGGATTTATTTTATATTTTCCTCATCTCATCCGTTATAATTAAAGTGAAGAAATATCAATCTAAGAAAGATTAAATTCTACAGAAATTGCAAAACTTGTTGCCGTTTGAAAGATATTTTGCTTATTTTGTTTTTTAATTTTATGAATCGTATTTGAAAACATGGGGTTGGCAGGAAAGTTATTTCGGTTTGCACAAATAGACAGCATTATGCCCGTTTTGTTATTCTTCTGTCAATCGTATAATTTTCTTTTCATTTGGGATTGGGTAGCTGACATTTTTAGGTTGCTATACAAACAAATACTGTGTATTTTTGTTCACAACTCATAGCTTATGGTAAAATATTTCTTTTACCCAAATTCTAAACGAATAGTTTGTAAGGACCCTAAGTTTTACTAACGTTTACTTTATTTTAAAACTGTACTATCACTTCTTATTTTCTACTTCCGGCCAGAATTAAACGCTTTAACTTATTTATGCAAATTGTCTTGCTAACGCCAAGTACTTAAGTTGTTGCTTTTTGCCAAGCAAGAGAGACGAAGGAGTTATTGGAAGCAAGCCGCCCCCACCCCCCCCCCCCCCCCCCCCCACCCCCCCCCCCCCCCCCCCCCCCCCCCCCCCCCCCCCCCACAGTTTTCACTCTGTTGCTGGTTGCCTTCAAGCAAGCCAAGGAGTTTAGCCCTCTTGATAATTGCAGACGTATCGTAGTTTTAGCAGCTCGGCGTACTACATACGTACCTTTCTTTAAATAAAGGCCAATCTTAGTGTTAGGCACTTGTATACTAATTCAAAGTTAGTTTTAGTTAGCAGTTTTTATATTCTTACGTTCAGACCACAAGTAGTTGGTCTCTGTATTCCGAAGTTTCGGAAATTCCTGTAAAGTATAGAAAATAAAGGGTTTCGTATACCCTTCCTGCTTGTATTGTCTACTTCACACATTCTTGAACATAGCTTGAGTAAGCTCCCTGTTCCTATTCAGGACCAGTCATGTTTCCAAAGCAAGTCAAAAGAAACACTAGTCCTGATAAGTTAACTGTCTAATAAAGAACTATCTGGTGCAATCACGTGCACAATGTTCAGGGACATCATAGATTTTAATCTAATTTAACCATGTTCAAACACGAAATGTTCAGAATAGCATAGATTGACAGTTAAATTTTTAATATTGACAGTGCAATCATTCTCGTGGTAATAAAATAATTTGCAATATTGAATGCAAACGTTTTTGATGTTGACAATGTAATATTTTCTAATGATATATGTATCTACTTAAGTGCTGATGTTTAGACTCACATTTATACTTTATTAACAGACACACTCTTTAGAAGCCGCTTCAGACTAGGGATGTTGTGGTAAGGTGTCATCTTCTGGATCTTCTGAAGTTCGGTTATTTGTAGCTCATTCTGTATCTTCCTGGACATCATATCAAAACGTACTGAAACATGCTTTCATCATTCGCTGCTCTAACATTGTTGGTATTCACCTGTTTGTATATATTGATGGTATGCTGTTAAATCTGTAATAAAGTTTTATGAAGAAGACTATATCATTTCTTAAGAGAAAAATACATATTAAAATAATTATTACTTAATTTGCCCTTTTTATTACATTATAATGTAATTAAATATTAAGATCTAGTGTAGAATTGGGTGCCCCTTCGATTGGCGACATTTTTTTTTTTTTAATTTTGGCGATGAAACCTCACTTCTGGTTACCACGATAGTTTTAACTTTGTTTTAGCTTGCCGATTTTATTTAAATGAAAATGGATTGATGTGTACATGGACAAATTTAAAGCAGTGCGCAATGCCTAGTTTGTGCAATTCTAGGATGTTTTTTTAAGTAAAAACAGATCGATGTGTACATGGACACATATCCTGTGCAATTCTTTGACTTCTTATTTTGGTTTTGTGTAGCGGCCATCTTGAAATTGTGCCTTCCTGGCGCCGATCTTGGTGTCAAAAAAGAATCGCCAAGAAGGGCACCTAATTGTAAACTTTTACCAAATATTATATTATAAAATTTAATATACTTAATTACGATAGAAATAAATTTAATAATCTTTACAATATAAATAAATTAAAAAGAAGTTTTATCGTTTGAAACAATTTTATTAATATTTTATTAAAAATATTAATATAAAGTTTCTTCGCACAGTGAAGCCTTGACTTAGGAGTTTAATTCGATGCTTCCTTTTTTATTTTTTTATTGAAAACTGATAAAATAATTGCAACTAAATTTATTAAAATTTCGCATTTCCTTTTAAATCAGATAAGAAATGTATTTAAGGCATACATGTGTGACACTTATTGTGTTCATTTATCAAAGATAATTTGCTGTTAAGTAGCATTAAAATATTTGTTAGAATTAAATACAGTATTCGAATTTGTTTCTGTACTTTATCTGATTTAGAGTAAAATGGTCTTGACTCATCAGTTTCATCCGCTGATTAAATACTGTTAACTGGGAAATGCATAGATTTTATGCCAATTTCTGCAGACTGATATTTTATTACAATTTTTGGGTGTAATAAATTTTACATAATTACTTACATTTATTTATTTTTTAATGTAAATAATAGGTAAAATTATTAAACTTGGAAAACGAAACACTATACTTATAAGATGGAATTTAATGTTTTCTCTATTACAAATCGTGGAATTTTCCTGGCAATATACTGCTTGGATTTTCAACCGTGGAAAATGTTCACGTGTTTGCATTTTTATCATTCAATGACACTATTAGTTTTATGTAATGCATGCAAAATTAACTATATAAGATTTCTAAAAATATGGCGAACATATATAATTTTTGGCCTTATAAGTTACTCTACCGTTATAAAATATGTAAGCTTTTAAGATAACCTGTATGAATATTTGTTGCAACGATTACAGGTATGCCAATGAACCACCACACTTTTTAAATTCGAAATCAAATGATAAACAGTTCTTCAGGTGTATAATCTTATAGAGATTGCATCAAATGATATTCTGTGAAATTTTAATCACAACTAATTTAACATGCTTTTATTGAAGAGCCAAAACATTATGACCACCTACTCAACAACGCGTTGCGTGACCTTTGGCCTGTAAAGCAGCTTCAACTCGCCTTGGCATAGATGCCACAAGTTCTTAGTAGATCACTGGAGATGGGTTGTATCAGGAGCAGATATGCAAAGTCGAGATATTCCAACATGTAAGGGCGCAACTGATCTGCAGTTACGTATATTCAAAGAGTTCTACCACAACTAAGGGTTCAGAGCCTCCCATAAGAACGTCCCCCAAGGTATAATACCACCAACAACAACCTGTATATGACATTCTGTACGGGTGGGAGCAACTGTTCGCAGGGAAGACGGTGTAGCCTGACACGACCTCGACGTGATGAATGGGAATCGTCATTCATCCGTGCAAGCAACTGTCTTCCACTTATGCATGGTACAAGTTCGCTGTTCCCGAACCCACTCTAGGCGTAGTTGACAATGACGTTTGGTCAACAGAGGCAGACGAGTAAGAGCTCTTGTACTCAGTTCCATATCCAACAGTGTCCGTTGAATTGTGTGTTTCGAAATCCTTACTCTTGGACATACATTGTATTGGACTGTCAGCTGAGCCACCTTTTGGCACCGATTTTGCTGTTCCAAGTGAGACAGCCTCCGAAGTCCTTTCTTTATGATGCGTAGACGTCTAAGACCTTGGCGTCTAGTGCTGGATTCAACGACATTTATCCACTTTGTATAAGTACAAAACAACGTCAAATCCTGAACAAAGTACCAGTCGTGCAATTTCGGAGATACTTGTTCCGAGTCTTCGGCCCATTACAATCTGCCTTCCATCAAATTCCCTTAGATCAGCAGACTTTCCCAACACCCGCAAAAGTGAAGTGCAAGAATGATTCCTTCCCTTCTCCGGCAGCAGTTCAGTACCATTCCTACTTATTTACGTGCCATTCACGTCATCCAGATGAGTTTATTGGAAAATGTGGAGATGGGCATAATGATTTGGCTCGTCAGTTTATGTATCAAACCTAAACATTTCATGAAAATACTCTTTGTAATATATTAAAAAGGATATTCGAAGTCTCTAAAAACACAAAATGGTAAGGACCTTCAAAATCCCTTTTTGTAGTTGAATTGATAAACTTCAAGAAAATGCCATTATCTTATAAATCATTTCCAAGACTATTCCTTTCAACACAGAAACTACTTTACTGAAATAATATCAGCATTTTAAAAAAATTGATTTATTAAAACATGACTTCATGCATTGAGTATTAAAATAATTGATAAGAAATAGAAAAGGAATGGAAGAAATATATTCTTATTTGGTACGAAATTTATATGGAAATGACGTAAAAGAAGGAAGGAGCTTCATTGTTTTAAGGTAAGTTACAAATTCAAATTGCTGATAAATGTTGCTCTTTTATTCAACGAACGGAAGCACGGCAAAATAAATTAGATCCATTTTGCATTTTAAGCGCAATTTATCCGAAGCAGTTTCATATCGTAAATTATATTTAATGCAGTGGCCTACAGCAACCTGTTTTACAGTAACTCCGAAAACATTTAACTTTGAAAGGTTTCTTCCTTAGGGAAAGATCCTTTCATTTTATGTTAAATAAATACTAGGCAAAGGCGATAGAGCAGAAATTGAAAATGTTCTTCTTTTCTCTGCTTTCATGTGATAATTTTACCTAAAATTTAAATTATACTTTATTTTAAGTTTGTTTAAGTAAAAGGCTTCAGTTTCATATTCAGATTATAAACATTATAAGCTTTTACAATTCAGAGAGTATACGGTATTATGAATTTAGTTGCATGGTTATAATATAGTTACTAAAATTTAATCAATTAAAATAAAGAATTAATTGTAAATATCCCAAAATAATTTGGTGTTAAATATTAATCATTATTATGGAAATTAAATAACATTTTAATGAATACAATAAAAATCTGAATACCATTTTCATTGAAAAGAGTTTCGGTTCAATATTCAATGCTAACACATTTAAGTTAGCATTTAATCATTATTTTATACAGTTTTTAATGCTTTAAGGAAAATAAAAATGAGATTTCTTACCCACTATTTTTTATTACGCATCAGGAAAGGTATTTATATTACCACTGATATTAAACAAATAAAATTCCTAAGAGAATTCTTACAGGTCAAAGAAATATTTAGATTATATATATATTTAAATATATTAAATATTTTTAAATATTCAATTAAATTTTTAATTACTTTTCTTTGATAACAGTATAGAAAAAAATTGAATAACATGAGTTCAACCGAGGCAATGAAAACAAGCATCGCTAATTTACATAACAAAATGAATTTATGACATTACAGTTTGTGTATTTAACACAATTAAGGCGCGTTTGAGTAAACTATCCTGTATTTAGCATAGTTTTCATAAAAGAATTATAAGTTAGAATAACTATGAAATATTTACTATAAAATATATATTTAACAAGTTAGAGAGTTTGCTTATCTCATATAAAACACAAATAAAATACTAATCAAAATTACATACTTACTAGGCAATAATAACAGGACTATTGTAGAGTCATTAGGATTATTTGAGTGTGTGTGTGTGATTATGGCAAAGCATCGAGGGCTATCTGCCTAAGGGGAGGGATGCCTTCGTGGAGGACTTTCTAAGGGAAACTGGCTCGTATACACGTTACACATGGGAAAACCACGAAAACACCTATGCAGCCAGCCCGTTCGCGGGATTCGAACCTCGGACCGAACTACCAGTGTTCAGCGACTTTACCGCTCGGCCGCTGGTGGGCCGGAATTTTTTTTTTTTTTTGAAGTAGGCAAGATGTGAAAATGAGCAATATCTCTCGAATACGGGCCGAGCGTGCTGACTATTACACCACAAAGGAATGCTATGAAGACGGAAAAAATACCTTATATACTCCTCCTTTTAAAGGGTGACGGGAAATTGGGGGACCCAGTCGCCAAATCCTGGTGGTAGAGAATTATCATCCACCAGCATTGTTTTAGTTCGGACGCCACTGTAGAGACATTAAGTAGTATTTTTTGAAAGCAGAAAATTTGAAAAATGAGCAGTGCCCTCGCCGGGACTAGAACCACGGACCTCTTGAATACACGCCGAGTGTGCTGACCATTACACCACAAAGGCGGGACATATACCTTATATTTTATTCCAAAAGAGAAGGTAGCACAAGTACTACGTAAAGGCAAAATCTTTTAAGACTTCAGCACAAGAAAACCTCCTTTCAGCCAGTACCCAGGTAAAATCCGTTCTCGCCAAGATACAGGAGGAATCTAAACAAGAGGGCAAAACTACAGGGGGTGACAAAAGACAGCTATACGAGTAATATTCGTCATAGAATGTATTTGCGGAACTCAGGCGGTGAGAAGTTACAGGGTAGTTTTCTCTTGTCACATTTAAAGAATTGATACAAGAATGAGAAGAGCTACTTCAAAAAACATGTTATTAACAGAACAGGCTCATAGAAATTGCTCAAAAGACTTTCCGCCAGCTGTAATGCAGGCTTCACAGCTGCGG